TATGGTGGGCTTCTTGGGGCCTTATGGGGCCATGTCGGGAGCCTTTTTGGGCCCTTTGGGGGGCTTCTGGGGGCCTTATGGGGCCATCTTGGGGGCATGTGGGGGGCCTTTCGGGAATATTATGGCCTCTGGGGGTGGTTTGGGCCCCTGTCCAACGACTTGTGTCGTGCCAAGCCAGAGTGATTTGCTCATAAGATGATTTTCAATACGTCAAAAGCTTTATTCATCGCCGAGGTGGGGTGTTGTGTTTGAAGTTGGGTTGTTATTGTTCGAGAAACCCCCCTCGTGTGGCGCCGTTGGAATCGTTATTTATCGTTCCAGGGGGGTGAGTTAGTGTTAGTCAGGTTTTTCATTCGTCACGGCTGAGGGAAGGTTGAGTGTTTCGCGATTTATTTTTATTATTCAAGCCTGCTGCGACCAGGGTCCAGCGTTGTATTGCCGGGGGTGATGGCGTCCGCATCACCTATAGCAGAGGCCCGACTCCCGCCAACGATCCCACGAGCATGCACAGTGCTATTCAATCTCACTGGTCGAAGGTTTTTGCGGCCAAGCCAGTTGACACCCCAGCGATGTTGCAGTGCCTGGACATGGTTTTCCCACCAGCACCTCCACGACACCTGCCTCTTCCAGGGGTTGACGAACTCCAAGCTGCCGCCAAGCTCGCCAGTGACTCAGCCCCTGGACCTGGCGGGCTACCATTCCGCGCTCGGGTGCGATCCGAAGGCGGCATCGCTATCCTCCACGACCTACTCCACTCCATTGCCCACGGCGGCCCGATCCCCTACGACCTGAACCACGCGCTCATGGCCATGCTCCCCAAGGGTGACGAGCCCATGGGCAACTACGAGTGCTCCCGCAGACCTGACTGTCTCCGCCCCCTCGCCATGAAGAACAGTGACATCAAGATCATCGCCTCCGCCACGAATCGCATCCTCAGCTCCATCGCGTCGGACACCGAAGATGAACAACAAGGATTTGTTAATGGCCGTCAATTTCTTTCCAACGCCGTCAAGGTTGACACCATTGCCCGCATCACCAGTATCAACAGCGACGCCTCCACCCTGATGCCCTGCTTCGCCAGCATGGACATTGCTGCAGCGTTTCCGAGTCTTACACACGCATGGTTGTGGGCCACTCTACGTCGATGGGGTATCCATGGAGTTTTTCTCCATCTATTGCAAAGCTGCTACAACATGCCACTCGCATTTCTCGAGCTCGGTGGAACCCGCCGTCCGCGGCTTCTCGCAGAATCGGGAGTTGTTCAAGGATGTCCCTTGAGCGGCACGCTCTGGGCGCTCGTCTTCGACCCCATCACCAAGGGCCTCAAGATGGAACTCACCGCTCTCGGCAGAGGCCTGCTCAGCGCCTGCGCCGACGACATGGGTATCGTTCTTGCTGCACTTAAAGACCTTGACGCTCTCCTCCCACACCTACCAGCAGCTCGCCAACACGCTGGTCTCCGCCTCCAGCCGAAGAAGTGCGTCCTCGTGCCCACCTGGTCACTGCCGACGCCCGAGATCACTGCGAACATGCGTCCTATTCGGACCCAGATCTACGAGCCGTGGCAAGCTTTTTCCATCAACAGCTATGCGCGACACCTAGGAGTGCACATTGGCCCAGGTGCATCTCTTGACCGTCAATGGCAAGTACCTGCCAACAAGTGGTGGGAGCGCATTCAGATCCTGAGTGATTCCAACGCTCCCATCCAGCAATGCATAAAGATGTACCGTTCCGCTGCCATCACCTGTCTCTCGTACGTGGGCCAGCTCTTCCCACCATCCCCAGCATTTCTATCCAAGGAGATCCACGGCCTCCACAAGCTCATCCGTGCTGCCCCTTCGAGCTTCACGAAGATGGACATTATGTCGTTCGCGCTGTGGGCGTCTGCCACGATCCCGCAAGGCATCGAAACGCTTCTTGCTGCAACTATGTGGCGTGCCTCCACTACGACCATTCCTGGTTGGCAGCCTCTACTTCACGAATTCCGTGCACATGCTGAAGACCTCCTCCCACTATGCCACGTTGTAGCTGGCAGCTGGTCTGCCCCTTGCTGGATCGACGCCACCTCCGTTGTGCAGCGCTTCGACGCTATTTACCACAACAAGCTGATCGTGACAGGCAAAGGCACCATCTTCAAGACTCTCACGCGATCTACTGGCTCTACGGTGGCTGCCGCCCGTGTGCTTCAACGAGCCCATGCGCAAGCTGCAGCAGCTGGACGGCATGCTCTCCAGGCCTCCCGTCGTGACAAGGCGGAGGACCTTCGCTCGCCCAGTCGTGACAGGACTGGTGATTATCAGACACCAAGTCGTGACAGGACTGGTGGCCATCACACATCCAGTCGTGACAGGACTGGCGGACTTCATCAGAGACAAGCCGGGCACATCTCTTCGAGTGCTACTACCATGAGCGTCTCATCACGAACTTCCCCACAACAAGCCTTTCTACGTGAACTACAACGTCAGCTGTACCGCGACTCTTTCCACAAAACCATTCATCTTCGTCTGCGAGCCTGGTTCCCACTACTTCCTATCGGTTGTGGCTCTCCGATGGCGCCTTCTACATCCGAGCATCCGACTGGGAACGCCAACCACGACTCCATGAAGTATCTGAACGAACGAGCTGAGGCATGGGCAGCGAGATGGATCCCCAGCGTGTTCTTCGACCGCGACATGGGCAACTTCAAAGACTGGATGGACTGGTGCGTCCCCTACGTCACCGCTGTTCTACACCGCTCCCAATTCAATGCGCACTTCAGCAGCGACGATCAGCATGGATATGCCAGTGCTCGCCGTGACATGGCGACAGAGATCTGTAACGGTGCGTTGCAACGATCTGCCCGTCCTTGTAACCACCGCCTGGAGATCTACAACAACGAGCGCATGCCGACCACCACTCATCGTGAATCTGCTGACGAAGCCGCTGAGCACCGTGCCCGTCGGCGCTGGATCGACCACGAGCGAGCCGCCAACCCGAACTTCCCGCAGGGCGACAACGACGCCGCATCTACAACAGCGACCACCACCATGCCCCCCACCCACGCCACAAGTGACATCATGATAGACATCGACACCTCCGAACGTGACGGTATCCTTGGCGGCGCTGCTCTCCCTGATAATGTTGAACACGCCTGGCGTAATCTACGATCCCACCTAGCGAACGCCACTGCCTCGACCTTCTGGCCCGCGGTCAAGACATTGTCAGGCGCATGGACGACCTCGCATCGCATGCACGTCAATCCTCACAAGAAGCCCTGCCTGCTTGGCTGCGACAAGGACGTGCAGGCCAAGAACGCGGATGACATCAGCCACTACATCTCGTGCCCACGGTTGTGGGCGCTCTTGGCACTACCCCGTGGACAGCCCGCTGGCGACGCACTCACGCGTCTCGGCCTCCACCAGAGCGACTTCATCGACGACCATCCCAGCCACACCATCGCCCGCCTGGCCGTGGCTTACCGCAGCTACAACATCATGCGTGTGCGCCACATGAACGGCATGCACGACATCCGCGACGAGTACAACTACCACAAGGAGGTTGTGGCCGCTGCCCGCCGCGCTCTGAGGCTCCCTAGGTGACTCGTGGGCGGCGCGGGGCCGCTGCTCCGCTGAACACGGACGCGCGCTCTCCCCAGCGTGTCGTTCGCTCCTCCTCCTCCTCGTTCTCGTCGTCCTCCTCCTCCTCCTCCTCCTCCTCCTCCTCCTCCTCCTCCTTCCCTCGTCCTCCTCCTCCTCCTCCTCCTCCTCCTCCTCATCGTCCTCGTCCTCGTTGTCCTCCTTCTCCTCCTCCTCCTCCTCCTCCTCCTCCTCCCCCTCCTCCTCCTGCCATCTGGGCCTCCCCCGGGGATCCTGGGGGGCACCTTGTGCCAGGACACCTTTGGCAACACCCGGCAGCTAATTACGCACTCAGCTTTCCTTCCCAGCCTCGCCGAGCGGCGGTGATGTCCCCCCCCCCCCCTGTCCTGCAGACCGCGAGGGCGCGAGAGGCAAGGGGTCGGGGCATCGCCGCTTCCAACCGAGACCGACCGACCGTGGGCGTACCGAGCGGTGTCGCCGGCTGCACGTGGGAGTGGCCCTTCGCTGGAGTGACCTTTGGTGCTGGCCTCAAGTCGGGCACGTCCCTCTACAAGAGGTATATTCGAGAATGGTTAGAAGATAGTCTGGGGACGATGTTTCGTGTTCTTTTGACTACGTTTGAGTTTCAAACTTGCTCCTTACTTTCTTATATTTCCTCCAACATCCGCCTGTGGCAGGACTTGCCCGAACTGATGCTGGCCCAGAGGGGTTCGGATCGCCTTTTCTTCGGGATTGAGCTCGGCCTCGCGCCGGCGCACGCGGCGTGGGACTGCGCTCGCATCGGAGCGCGCCAGGACTGGGTTCCCCTCGCAGGCGGCCGCAGCACACGCGGTGCATCCTGATTGCAGCGCTTTGTGGGTTTCCGAGGGGTGGCCTGGTCGACAGGGCGGCGCGTTTTCCGCCCCAGGACGGGTCCCGAGCCCCAACCCAAGTCCCAAATCGCCCGGCATGATTAGGTGTGAATGTGCTTCCATATGTTTCGATGACTTAGAAAATTTTGAATAAGAGCCCACACCAATCGAGTTCTTCAATATTGAAAATGAACTGGGTCCGTGGGGTGGCCCACACGGTGGGTGGGTTGGCCACGGCACCTGATTTGGTCAGACGATGCCTCGATGCGATCCGGCAGTGCCAGACCTCGTCGTGATGGCGCCCAGCAGCGCTGCTTTCGCAGCGCCTTCGGGGATCTTCGGGGTGCCATTCGGGGCACCCGAATCGAACTGGCGGAATTCCGAAGTTGCCCGCTTTCTCCAAGGACTTGTCGAGGCGCGTCCCGCCGATTGCTGATGCGGTGCGACAGCAGCGGCTTGCGCAGTTGCGTTGGGCCCCTGCGTCCAGCCCTAAAGCGGCGCACCAAAGCGCCCTCTTGCCCGGGGTCACTCTTAGGTGCAGCCGATGTCGGCGCCTCCTCTCCGGGCCGCTCAGGTGAACCACGGGCGGCGCATCGCCGTGATCCAGAACGAGCTGGCGGAGGAGACGGGCATCGAGGCTCCGAGCGTGACGGGCGCGGACGGTCAGCAGTTCGAGGAATGGGTTGAGCTCGCGAACGGCTGCGTCTGCTGCAGCGTCAAGGACGACCTGGTTGTCGCCCTCGAGCGGCTCATCGAGGCGCGAGGTCGCTTCGATTACATCCTGGTGGAGACCACTGGTTCCCTGGTCGATTGAAATACCCCCTCAAATCGGATCAAATCGGCGAATGAAGGAAGACGTGCCTGGCTCGGGGTGGCTTCTGAAGCATGGGGGAGGGGAGCGAAAGGGAAAGTAGCCGAGAGAGATGAAGACAGGTGGCAGGAATGCACGCCTCGCCGTGAGCTGCTCAGGCATGGCTGATCCGGGGCCTGTGGCATCGGTATTCTGGGTGGACGACGAGCTGGAGAGCCCACTTTACCTGGACGGCATCGTGACCCTGGTGGACGCCCAGAACTTCACAAAGCACCTCCACCAGGTTGAAGCTTGCCGGCAGGTGGCCAAGGGGGAGGCGGGGGAGGGGGAAGGAGTGGGACCATCGTTCGATCATTGTGATTCGTGGTCATGTTGGATGTTCTTCAGCTGGCACGGGAAGCACCCGATGCACCCCATTCAAAGTTTTATCCACCGAACTGAACATTTGAGACGGGCTAGCCAAGAAAAATCGCTGGGTGGTTCCGCCCTAAGGTTGCTTGCGCTCGATTGTGCCTGCTCGTACTCTCTGGCGGACCGTCACCACCTTCAATCCCTGTTCCCACGGTCTTGCCTGTAGTTGTTCGTTTCGTGCTGACGGGTCTCTGGGCATGTTATCACTGGGTTACGCATGCCCGCTTGGTTGCATGCTCTTAGGTAACACCGCCCAGCACTAATATCATCGCTCGCGTGCACCTGCTTGCGCGTTCGACCACTTCCCACGCACGCCGTAACACACATCCGCATACGCATGCCTCAACTTGACTGCAAGTGAGCATGGTCGCCCGCATCCGATTGACAGGTTGCACTCGGCTCCGCTGTGTGACATGTGCGGGCGGGTTCCAAAATATGGAACGAGCCCTGTCACGCGCCTCCACAAGGCACTGCTCACACGCGTTTGCACGTGATCGAAAATGCGCGCACGCGCACACGCATATTGCTATATATATATAGTTATGTATATCCGTGCACGGTATTCTTTGTGCTCGCCATTGCTTCAAACCGCTTACACGTGATGGCGTATGGCACAGCTTGCTTGCATATGTCTACGTCTGTTCCTGCTGCCTAGTTGGTATATTCTCTCTTGCTTACACCTCCTAGCTTGTGCTTCCAAGTGCTTGCGCTTGCTAACAACTCCTTATCATGATGCATCTGATTCACATTTTGCCTGCATTCGGTTGCACGAGCTTGCAGGTGCTCACACGTGCTAACACTGTTCCATATCACCACGCCAGTTTGCGCTACCACTTTCCTAATGTTGCTTGCGTCTGCTTGCGTGTGTTTGATCCCGCTGGCTCTTGCGCGCATTGGTGCCCTCTTACTCACACTGGCTTGGTCTTGCTTACGCTTTCCTCCACATGCCAGCAGTCCTGCATCTGGGTTCACGCTTGTACGTGTTAGCAGTTGTATGCGTCAGTTGCTTGAATTTTCTGACGCTTGCCCAACGAATTAAATACAAGTGCTAAGTGATTATGTTCGCTTCGATGCGCGCGCAATTCGCTAAACATGATTACGCTTAGAAGGAAGATGGTAATCTCGCTTTTCCTCGGACGAGGCCAGGGGGGCGGCTTTTGCGTAGCTAGCTTTCGCAATGCACGTCGTCGCAGATCGCTTGGTGCAATGGTCGAGCCCCTCACTGAGGCAAAGCCCACATTCCGATCGGGGGCTCCAGCATTTTGCGGAGAATGCGGTCTATGGAATTGTTGTAGGGTTGATGGAACGGCTGGAGAATGTGCACGCTGCGGCGCTGCTTGCTCATCCCATACGTTGCGTGATTTTCCAGTGGCCAGCAGAAGCACATCCGCTTCGGCGGCAAAACGCGCAGGCACGACAAGTAACAATGACCTCCCTGCCAGGCGAGAAGAGCCGCTGGCTGTACAGTTCCCGTTCGCGAGCCGCTGATTGCTGAGCTCGGGCCTGGTCGCGGTAGAGATGTGGGGGCAATTTGCCGATAGCGTGGAACGCGTTTGCGTGCGTTCAGCGGCATCCTGTGCATATGATGACCGCCACAGAAGGTGAGTTTTGTTATCTTGGGTGAGCTGGCTGCCTGTTTTGAGACATGGAGCAGCGGGCACACCAGCCCTGCGGCGTATTTGCTCAAATTGTTCCGGCACCGGTCTTTGACACAGGGTGCCAGTTGGTCAGGGACGCGCTTCCAGGCGACAGTCGGCTTCAGACCTTCCCTGGCTGAATTCGTGCGACATCGGCTGCTGCACGAGCCTTGGCACAGGACGCCGGTTTTCAAGGTTTTTTGGTTCAGCAGTTGGCCCAGATCTTGAAAGGTCATGTTCACCGATGAGGGCTCCACGAGGCTGCTCATCCAGTCGACCTATCGATCGAGCTGCACCGTGGCCGTCGGTCGTGCCCACGAGCGTCAGCAGGCTGCTCTGCACTTCTGCGTATGTCAGGCCTGCTGGGTCAGGACAGGGATCGGGCCTTAACTCGGTTTGGCATTTTGTTTCGGGGGGGATTCCTGATTCCCCGTCGACGCCTCCTTGGCTTGCACTGGGGCCAGTAGTTCCAGAGGCGAGGTCTGTTGTCAGCATGTCTCGAGCATCAACATTTTGTTGCAGCATGTCTGCACGTTGTCGACTGGTCGACGTTCTTCTGGGGCCTCGTGTATCGTTGTCTTGCTTGAAAGTTAATCAACTACTGCTGATCGCTGCGGAATGCATTGTTGTCGCCATTATCGGCAACATCATTTCGAAGCCATCGAAGAGTGCCGTTTCATCATGCGCGGTGCCGATGGTTGCGAGTCGAAGCGTGTACCAATTTGGTTCGAGGAGCTCTCGCGCGAGCGGTGGGCTTGGATTGAGGCGGAGCGCTGTGGGTGGTGACCAGGCGATTTCTCTGGCGGCAGCAAACGCGCAGAGTCGATGATGCTGGTTTTCTGCTGCCAGCTGGGAGGCACCACGGCCTCGGCGAGCCACCTGGATGCGTACTCCAGTGCGTCCTCGCACTGCCCGCAGGCGCGGGGCTGCTGCCGGCAGCGTGCAGGGCGAGAAGTCGGTAGGGCGGTGTAGGGAGGGTTGGAGGTCTGGCCAATATCAGCCACGCGCAGAGGGGGGTGAGGGGAGGGGGGAGGGCTTCTTAGAAGCACCCCCGCTTCTTAGAAGGCGCGGGCCTTATCTATAGATGTAAGGCGGGCGCCTTCTAAGAAGCAGCCTGCTTCTAAGAAGCCCCCCCCTCCCCCCACCCCCTTGTGCGCGCCGCCAACAATATCTGAGCATGAAGTGCCTGGAAACTGCGAGTTCCAGGCAACCGGATCCGTGGGGAGGCACGGGGTTGTTCCGCCCAATGCGAGGCTCACGCCGCCGAGCTCCTGTATGGCGCAGTGCATAGTAGTCCAGGGCATCGCGGGGACATTCGGCTCTGCAGGCGAGGTCTTATTGCATAACGAGCTGCGTGGTGGATCATTCTAGGTGAAGGGATGTGCAGGGTTGGGCCCTCCCCCTGCGACAAGTAAGTGGCTGGTTGAGGGCTTCTTGTTCTTCTGCGATGTCAGTCAGGAGGCCCTGGTGAAGCGGCGCGCTTCAGGCACAATAGGCGCAGGCTTGGGAGGTCTAGCAGCACTCTTGTGAGCTTACCGCTGTTCGCTGAACTGGGCGGGTCCGTTGGTTGCGCCCTGGTCGATACCATAACGGCTCCGAATCAAAATCTTGATTACACCGCCCATGCTCCTATAAGAATGCAGCAACTTGGGGCGGTGCTGACCAGTCACCCGTCACGTCTCTGAACTTGTGATCTTTCGCTAGCTTCAGGGCTACGCCATGGGCGGCCGAAGAGCAGAGACACGTTTTGACAGCTGTCCAGCAGCTGCCGCCGCGACTGAGCTGGCTGTGGCTGCTTCTTGTCCAGTGGATATGTGGGGGCCCTCAGCTGATGCAGACTTGCAACCTGTTGTCGACACGTTTTTGAGCTTCCTGGAGGTCCAGCGTAATGACGCGCTACGCAGACTCAGGCGACGCCTCACCTCCTCCTGTGCGCTGCCAACTCCGCAGCTGTTGGGACTTTCGCGAGCTTCTGAGAGGTCCAGCTGGATTACTTCTTGTTTCTGCAGCTATATGGTCCTTGCCGTCGCGTCATGGTGGCTTCTTGGAGCACGCCCG